TACAACTCGACGAGTTGATGAGACAACTCGACGAGTTGAGTTGGATTTTCCCGATACTTCAGAGGAAGCGAAGGAACTCGACGAGTTTAATCAACATGGACTGTTGACTTGAGCGTTGACTTTTAGGGTTTGGTCAACTGTGGACCTTGGAGACCATGGAGGGGTAAAATGGTCTTTTCACCCTTTTTGAGATTTAGTGGAGGAGTTAGCTTAGCATCTCAGATTGGTTATTTCGATTTGCTTATTAGAGATAATTATATTGTGTAGGCGGAGTCTAGACTGTTCGTGGGGTACTAGATCTACTTGTTTACTTCCGGGGTGAGTCTTCTCACTATACTTACCTGAGTGGTAATACCGAGTGACCAGAGGGTCTTATTTGAGTTATCGACCGGAGGGTCCTATGTGCTTATATTGAGTTATGTGATATTATGCATTTTGTCTTTGTGATATATGCTATATTATTCTGTGCTTTACTGAGTTTGGATCGGAGGGTCCAAACCGAGTTGTGAGACCGGAGGGTCTTCACTAAGATATATGACTGGAGGGTCCAACCCGAGCTGTGAGACCGGAGGATCCTCACTGAGACACATGACCGGAGGGTCCACACTGAGCCGTGAGACCGGAGGGTTCTCACCGAGACGCATGATACCGGAGGGTCCATGTCGAGTTATAGCCATGAGAGGCTTATTATTTGTGTATGTGGTATTTTGGAGAACTCAGTAAGCTTCGTGCTTACCGTGTTGTGTGTTATGTGTTTCAGGTACTTCTCAGGATCGCGGGAAGGCGCCGGCTTGATTGTACACACTTGTTTGAGACTATGTCGAGGATTCTGGGATATTATCAGTTGTTTTGTTAAATGGTGTTTTTGACACTTGATACATTGTGATTTTGAGAAAATGTGATACTGTTTTTATGTCATTTAAAAAATGAAAATTTTGTTTGAAAATTTAGAGTGTTACACATGGATATGAACTTCAAGGTACATACATAAAACATATCATTATAAGACAAAATTATTATTACATATGTTTGACCCTCTCAATAAATGCTAACTTATTATATATCATTGCATCAAGAACCTCCATTACCGTTTTCAAGGAAGCTAAGTGTTATATATTTTTCTTTATTGAGTTCGTTATGTACACTTTTAATATGTATTGTTTTGTGTTATAAGATGGGCAACAAGTCATAACAATATTTCTCTAGTGATTATGTTTTTGTTTAAATTAGAACTCTTGAATTTGATTTTGTGTTTGATTGACCACTTTCATTAATTGAATTTTTGTGTAGTTAATTAATTTTTAAGGCACCTAATCGTTCTATTAAGTTAATAATTTGTAACAAACAATAAGTTTTCTTATTGTAAAACATATATCACATGTTTTCACACTTCCGAGCGTATGAGAATAAATAAATATTGTTGGGAAGCTTGTACAAAACTTAATGCAGTTTTTCAATACAATCTAAGAGCGTGTTTAGGTTGAATTAGTAAAACTAGGTCTAGTCAAAGAGCATGTTTTGGTTAGATAATTTGGCAAGCGAGAGGTATTAGAGCGTGTTTATATCTTTCAGTACCTACTTAGAATAACAATCACGAATTACATCAATTCATAATCAAGTTGAACAACAACATTGAGAACTAGAACTAGAACCATTTAATCAAATTGTTTACAAGTTTATTTCGATTTTTGCATGTTTTAAAATATATTGTTATTTTATTATTTTACTTTTGCAAACAGAACCCTCCTTTTGTGATCAAAGTACCTTGCGCAAAGAGGTATAGACTTTTATCTCGTGTCTCTGTGGTTCGACCTTGCTTGCCTTGTACTACTTCTTAGTGTCTTGTACTACTTTTTGTTGGGTTTGACACACCTAATAACTATCATCTCCATATTTTGACTTTACTTTAGGTATAGTTAAATATCTTGGAGAATATGATTGGTATTCTTTCGTAACATATAGTCTCTTAGCTTGATTAAGTATACTCTCGAAGTCATGAAGATTTCTATGTGATCCTTGAATGGCAGAAATCTACATAGTTTTTCAGTGAACTCATTCATCCAGTCATATTTGATTTCAACTTCTAGAGTAGTGTATTCTTATTTTGTAGTAGATTGTATCATTATGTTTTGCTTGGACCTCATTCCAACCAAACTTACTCTTCATTCCACAATGAAGTCATAATCCAATCATAATTCATAATTATCTATATTTTTTTAGAAATCAGAATCATATGCAACTCTTTACATGACGATTTTATTCTAAACTAAGTATCTCACATACATTCTCTTAGTTCTTTTAAAGCACTCTTAGAATGTCCTTATAGTATCTTATCATTCCTAGAATGTATCTTATCATTCCTAAGTCTTTCATTTTAAAAATACTTTTCAAGTCAAAATGAAATGACCTTGCATAGTCGAAATGTAATTTCAAATGATTAAGTATGTCTCATTCATACAATATTAGGAATATAACTATCCTCCCACTAGTTCTTAGTAAACACACATGTTCATTTCATTTTGATATAAAACATATCTTGTATCTCCATATGAAAATGACTATTCCAACCTTGAGATGTTTGGCTATTTGCTTTATATCCACAAGTGGATCTTAAGCATTACACATTTTGTTAGGATGACATAGATTAAGAAAACCTTCTGGCTAAACTATATAGATATCTTCTAGTAGATGTCTATTAAGAAAAGCAATATTTCTTGAAATCTATTTGTTATATCTCATATTAAGAATATGAAGTTATATTAAATCATATCCTTGTTGATCTAATCATAGCTACTTGTGAAAAGGTTTGATCATAGTCAATGTCATCCGTATGATAAAGACCATAGTCAATGACACGAGTATGATAAAATCCTTTATGACAAGCCTTGCTAAATGTGAATGTGATATCCATGTATTTATTCTTTCTAAAAGGATCTTTTACTCCTTCTAGCCTTGCTATAGAGAGGAAGATTAATCAAGCTCATACTTGATTATTATACATGAATTACATCTCAATGTTCATGACTCTAAGTCATTAAAATTCAAGATTTAATATAATATCTTGGTAGTTGATGGATTTGTCAGAAACCATCAAGAAGAACCCATCCATATTTCTCAAGTTAAAGATGATTTCTATCATCAATGCGAACATTTTGTGTTTATGAATAACTATTATTCAAGTTCAACAATTCCTTGTTGAAACTAGTTCCAACAATTGCTACATCAGATTATGGTTCTTGAGCTGCTTTAAGTTCTATATGCCTTCCACTTGCTTTGTCGTTACAAGCTTGATTTCTTCTGACTCAACATTCAGAAAAATAAAAGAACTTATTATTGGCAGGTTTTTATAATCTAAATGTCCTTTTAGAGTATTCTACATACATGTAATTTGTTGGTGTTTGTATTCAAGATACATTTAATAATGATTAAGGTATAATCCCAATAGCATAAAGGAAGATAATTTCTACAGATTAGAAAGTAAACTTTCCTTTAGACTTCGTCGGTTAATTCGCATTCTATAAGAAATACATTGTAAAGACTTTGCGAAAATCATAACTCTTTCATACGAACTCTTGACGTTCTTTATATCGATTGATTCATATTTTTGAGCACATGAACTCTCTTTTACACTATTTTGGCTAAAAACCAACCGATCTCCATTTCACTTTTTATGAGACACATTGTTATGTTGGGTTGAACGCGAAACTTTGAAAAATTATACTTTCTTCATACAAAGTCATATTTAGGCATTCTTTGTATCTACAGACTCGTGATCACGACTACTAAAACTTTCGTCAATACTATTTATCTTAAGTAATATTTTATTTTTAAATATTTATTTAACTTAATTCATAAATTTATAATAAGGTTTTATACAAATATTATAAGCCCATAATATTTGTTCATAAAGCATATACACGATATATAAATATTATTTATATAACCCGTATCGTGTACGAAAGATTCTTATTTGTTTACGATTATCCTATTCAGGGATTTAATTGTTCGATAAAACGAATATTTATAATTTATAATCTTTAAAACTTCTAGCTCGAATTCGTAGGCGTTACAAAATCTTTATCAAATCATTTTTCCTTCATTATGCATAATCCACGCTCAAATACTGCGACTTTCTTTTTCGACCACTCTTCTAAAATGCACAATTTATCCCTTTGGTAACGCTCCTTATTTTCATCTAATTTGTTGGTTATTTTGGTGAGCTGACAAACTTCATCCACGGGGTTTGGATATCAATCGAGTTTGCTTGCGCTTTCATCGTTACGGTTACAGTGTCGATATTGATACTTTATCTTGAAGCTATGCACCAAAAACATCATCACCCCTTAATTCAAGTGACTTGAAAATTGGGAATATGATCCACTTGTGGACGTATTTGAATAAGATGTTTTGCTCATTTTTTATGAATGATTGGGGGATTGTCACCCATCAAGCCACCGGTAAGACATTTAGCATGATATTTAAGAACATCCCATGCCGCCTCTTGTGGAAAATGTTTCGCAAAGAGTTTGTGGTACTCGCTATGTGTTGCCTTTAACACATCGACACCTGGTCTTCCGTTTGGACGCATGTTGCATTTGTTGTTGTAGATGCAATTGAACTTGGTAACTTTTGCTTGCAAATCCTTCTATATGGAATTGAGTTGATGCTTATTACAATGGCTAACCCGTCAACCTCACCATTCCGAACCTACTTGCAGGAAGAACCGTAGACACCCTTAAAAACCAACTTCTTTTATTGTAAAGAGGAAAAAAAATGATATTTCCTTTTATTTGGACTAGCTCAATTTCAAATTCAAAAATCCAAAACTCAATCTTATACTCCCTCCACTAACTCATTTGACATGGCAAAACGTGGTCGGGACCGCATAAAATATCTAAAATTAAATAAAAAATCACAGGACAGACAGAACTCACTCATCATAAGAACCGCACTTCAGACCCCCACACTTCTCCACACACACACTCTCCCCCATCTCCCCCATGGATTCCCTTACCCTCGTCTGCACCGTCTCTCTTCTCGCCGGCGGCCTTTACTGGTTCGTCTGCATCCTTGGATCCGCCGAACAAAAAGGCAAACACGCCAGTCAGCTCACCGGAGGCTCAATCCAACGTGAAAACGTTCAAGACAATTACAATGAGTACTGGTCTTTCTTCCGTCGTCCCAAAGAGATCGAGAAGACGGAAAATGTTCCGGCTTTCGTTGACACCTTTTATAACCTCGTTACAGATATCTATGAATGGGGTTGGGGACAGTCGTTTCATTTTTCTCCTGCAATCCCTGGGAAATCCAACCTTGAGTCCACCAAAATCCATGAGCAGATGGCGGTAGATCTGATTCGTGTTAAACCCGGACAGAAGATTCTCGACGCCGGATGCGGCGTCGGAGGTCCGATGCGTGCAATTGCGGCGCATTCAGGTTGTAACGTCGTTGGAATCACCATTAATGAGTATCAAGTGAGTCGAGCTAAGGCACATAATAAGAAAGCTGGGTTAGATGGGCTATGTGATGTCGTTTGCGGAAACTTTCTAGAAATGCCGTTTGAAGATAATAGTTTCGACGGCGCGTACTCGATCGAGGCGACTTGCCACGCGCCGAAGCTGGAAGATGTTTACGGCGAGATTTTTAGGGTTTTAAAGCCTGGATCGATGTACGTTTCATACGAATGGGTAACAACAGAATTATACAACGGCGAAGATCCGGAACATGTGGAAGTTATTCAGGGGATCGAGAGAGGTGACGCTCTGCCGGGGTTGAGGAGTTATTCCGACATTGCTGAGGTGGCGAAGAAGGTAGGATTTGAGGTGGTGAAGGAGAAGGATTTGGCGAAACCTCCGTCGCATCCATGGTGGACGAGGTTGAAGATGGGGAGAATTGCTTATTGGAGAAACCACATTTTAGTGATGGTGCTTGAAACGCTCGGTGTTGCACCAAAAGGAACTGTAGATGTTCACGAGATGCTGTTCAAAACCGCCGATTATCTCACCAGAGGAGGAGATTCCGGCATTTTCAGCCCAATGCATATGATTCTCTGCAAAAAGCCAGAAAAGCCCCAAGAATCTTGATCGTCTTCTTCGTTGAGGTTTATTCTCAATATTAATCGTTTTTTTTTTCCAAATCAGGCCCTTTTGGTTATTTTTAATTATTAGTATGATTTATCTGTTTGATTACAGTTTGATTTTCTATGTTTAATTTAATCACTGCTTCTATTTAGTGTTTAATGTAGCTCCTAATCAAAGTTTTTGGAATTTTGTAATCCATGGTATTTCCATATTCACTTTCTGGATTCATGATTTCATATCAAGTTATGCAATCATGGAGTTCTAAGTTCTTGATGTTCCTGTAATTATTCTTTGGGAATTGGTCATAGGAAAGATTCTATCTTTTGAATTTTGGAGATGATAATCAGAAATTGTAGATCTGATTAGGCTGGCATTACAGTTGTAAAAGAAAATGGCAGTAGTATTTTGGAAAAAAGATTCCAACTTTCTTCTAGTGTTGATCATGTTGGAGGAGATGATCACGTGAGAATTGAGGTCAAAGTGTTGGCAAGTCATGTGATACTTTTTGAATAGATTAATTTATTCACATGACATGACAAGGATTCCGATCCATTGCTGAATGAATATGTCAGTAGTTGGTTAATCATATGTTGTTCAAAAATGGTACTTGTTTAATAACCCATCAAATAACAGTTTAGGATGTTTTCTGTTTTGCTCATTACATGTTTTTAAACAAAATTCTTGCTCCTTTTGTAATTACAAACGGGGCAATATACATAAAAAAAATTTACATGACACCATTTTTTTTTGGGTTTAACCACTATATTTTATTCTGGTCAATAAAAGCCATCAATTTTAGAAAGAAATTTCCAATGTAACTAGGCCTAGCAATCGGGTTGGGTTCGGGTTGTCAGGTCAGGATATATTGACCCAACCCAATCCATATAATATACTGGTTGACGGGTCATAGTTTGGTAGGTTGGAAATATCAATCCAACCCAATCTACATAACCTGTTTAAGTATATGGGTTCGCTGGGTAACTTTTCACATGTTAAATTTATACGAATTATATGTGTCTCTAAGTTAATTAATAATTACCATTTTATATTAATTAGAATGAAATGAACAACCAAATACACGCCTCTCACGTCGGAACACTGCATTTAGAATTGGATTTGAGGTGGAGTGTTAGGACTTAGTAACTTGGTACACTTTGTATATTGACTAGATTCTATTAATTCATAAATAAAAAATTATTTTTTTGAATATAATATATATAGTCGTGTTGGTGGGTTGATTCGTGATCCCAAACAGGTAACTCAACCCATCTATGAAATAAACTGGTTGGTGGGTCAAAAATTTCAATCCAAACCTATTTATTTTCGTGTCGTGTTACAAGTTGGGTCGATAATTATCACCCCTAAATGTAATTCATCGTGACATTCTACTTCTGGTTTAGAAGGTGAAAATTTCATTTTTCCTTTTAAGTGGATTTAAAATACTAAGTTTAGAAGGAACATTTTTGAAAATGTTTTCTTTCTTTATTAACAAATTGACATGGTTTCTCATTAACCTACATGACATCATATGTTGTCTTAAAATAACATCTAACATTCTAAAATGGTTTCTTATTATGTGTATAACCTGCTAAACGGGAAAATGAGAAGACATTTCAAGAAACAAAATACTATTTCATAAAGTAGATATAATGCATTAATGCCCCATGGAAAAATGAGAAACAATGTTAGTTTTAGCATATGCTAAACCGGAAATAGGGGTCATAATGATCGCAATAAAAATTTCTTTAAAAAATGGAGCACTTTTATATACTGAAATAAAATATAGTAGTTAAACCACAAAAACAAAATGTATTTTATATAATTTGTTGTTACCTGGAGTCTTGTTGGTTTATACTTTGTAGATCAGAACAAATCTAATTTCTGAAAATGAATAGTATAATCTTCTGCAGATCTCAATGAAAACAACCTTCCAGTGGACCCGACAAGGTTTATTTGTAATTATAAAAAACCTTAATCAGGACAATGAATCTTGAATCTTTTTGGTAAGTGTTGTGTGCCGGCTGGTTTTTAGGAAAATAAAAAGGTGTATTCAAGTTGGTTTTTGTTATTGGGTTGTCCAAAAGAAGCATGTAGGTACAATAAATAATGGTTTTTGGTTAGATGTTTGTATTTGCTTTCTTTGGGTTTATTCAACATTGTTGGCATTACATGTTTGTACTTCTATTTTTAGGCTTATGTTAATCAGATTTTGGCTTTTCCCTTTTGGTTTTTGGTAAAAAAAAAGAAAGATAAAACTTATTTTCTGATTTTAAATTAGAGTAAAAACAATATATTATAAGAATATTCTTGTTTTAAATTTGGTTAACTTTAATGTCTTAAAATTTTTGGCTCCACACTTTTTTAGGGTGACTTAATATAGAGACATGCACACCCATTTTACATATAGGACAAAACTTTACTAATGGCCTTTGTGGTTTTAAAAATTTCTCTCAAACGGTCCTTATGAAACTTTTCCTGCACAAATGGTCCCTAACTATGGATTTTGTATCACCACTAGTTCTTATGACTAATACCATTAGGTTTTTTGTTAGATCCAACATGAAGTCTTTTTTTTGCCCTTGTGGTGGCCCCACTCCACCTTTCTCTCTCTTAGAACACAACGCCCCACTCAGTCTATAATGCAAATCTATGTGTCTTCTTCTTCCTCCAACCTTAGTGTGTGTATTTGTGTATAGTGACAAAACAAAATCGCATCCCCTCGTTCCTAAATTGATTATCGATCGTACCCTTTGTAGGTATTTGTGCTCCGGTAGCGGCAATTAGGAGAATCAAGAAATCCAACCCATCTTTCCATTTGAAACACCTTTCGAATAAATAGAGTTCCATCGACTTGATAAAAAACGAACCTTCATCGAAATAGTCATCTCAAACAACGAAAATTATATCATGTTCTTTAAAATCACGTTTATCATAAAAAAATCCAGGTATTTGATCAAGACCCACTTCATCTCATCCACCTGAATCAAATCATCAGCGAAACCATTTCGATCAACCTTCATTCCTTCGATGAACACATCCAGTTCAACCAAATCAAAATCTCATTCAAGCAAATTCGAAGCTCATCAAATCAAATTAGTACCCATCAAAAACATTATCAACTCGATTTGAAAATCAATTACCATATTTCAAAGCACCACTGAATCGTAGACTTGTTCATGGGTCGGGTTTTGACCCTGATTCGCTCCAAACCCATGGAAATTTTACGGGTTTGAAATTTAATTTTCGATCCATTTACCTGTTTACAACCTATATCTACTTACCTATTTATTAAATGGGTTGGGTATGGATAATTTTTTATTCGCTCCATTTACAACCCATCATATTTAATTACGTCTCTCTCTCTCTCTGTGTGTGTGTGTGTGTGTGTGTGTGTGTGTGTGTGTGTGTGTGTGTGTGTGTGTGTGTGTGTGTGTGTGTGTGTGTGTGTGTATATATATATATATATATATATATATATATATATATATATATATATATATATGCGTGTGTGTGTAAAATACTTGAAACATTTTTTATTTGCACAAGACATTTTATTCATTTTGACAACTAGTGTTGCATCTGAGGTTGCTTTTATTGTTGTAGGAAAAATAATTGATAATGTCATTCCTCCATGCTACCTTTAAATTGTAATGACTTTGGTGACTACACAAGATTGACTAACCTCGAGGAAACAAAAAAGTATGCAACTCGATCTCTAACTAAAAGGTAATGCTTAATGTATTTGATTTTGAGTATTAAGTAATGTAATTCTTATTGTAATGAGTTTTGAGTATTAAGTAATGTAATTCTTATTATAACAAACATTTATCCTTTTTGAGAAATATTACTTTTTGGCACACATCAAAATTATGTAGTATTAATGTTGTAACAGGTCGGGTTAATAGATTTGATATTCGTTGATTCGGCGGATACGAGTATGGATTCGATTATTCAAAACCATGAGGGCTATTGGAGAGGGGCGACTCAGGTTTTCAAAGTTGTTAAAAGGGTTTGGATAAAGGGTGATTCGCTTCAAACCCGCCCCATTGATAGGTCTACAGAATCGACACAGTGAAATTTGTTCCAATATGTCCTCTTCGATTCAACCCAATAAACACAAACTATAATTTCAAATCAAACACATGGTATCAAAGCATCATCATCGTTTCAAAAAAAACTCAGTCCAACATCCAAATCGATACTACCACAGATCGACAACAATTGAAAGCCATTAATCAAGATCTAAATGATTAAACAAACATAAATACGACAGATTCTGGAAAGTGAAGAATATGATAGGAGGAAAAACAAAAATCATAAAATCCCCGATAGGTTCAACCAAAATTTGAAATTGATTGATGATAATGAGATAATAAGTTCGATTGATAAAACAAAAAAGATTAATTCAAGATTCAGAGTTTACGAATAAAAATGATGATGAGGTGCCTGAATTTTGAAGAAATGATGAAACAAATGAAGTAAATGACCAACCACGTCTATGTAAAGCCACAAAGGGTATTTTCAATATTTTTTCAAATATTTAACAGAATCTGTTAACAGAGTTAGTCATAAAGACCACTGATGATACAAAATTCATAATTAGGGATCTTTTGTACAAGAAACTTTCACAAATATTTAGTAGAATTTGTTATCAGAGTTGGTCTCATAAGGACCATTTAAACGAAATTTTTAAGATCACAAGGACCATTCATGAAATTTTGTCTACATATAATTATATTTAATGCATATTTTCAACAATTATATTAAAATAACTGGAAAATTTAGAAAGTCATTTGTATTTTTAGGCTTTTACTTGAAAAGTCATCATGAATTTAAAAAAAAAAAAACTGATAATTTTGAAAATGTTCGTTTAATTTTTTATTTACCTACCAATTTACTCAAATTGGTTAGGATTTACTAATGCTTACAAGAACACATGTCAAAAAAGAGTTTAGTCCCAAAGAGACTACTCCATAACAAACCATTGTCCATCCATAACAGTCCAAAACACTCTAAAACAACCGAATGTAATATAAATTTAACTAAAATTTTCAAAGTTAATTAGTTCAAAACAATAAGATAATTTTTTAATTAATTAGTTAGTTGATGATTTAAGTCAAAATTCTTTGGATAAGGAATTAAAGAATGACAATTGAATAAATCTATTTAACTAGGGTATGGACTTATTTTTTCATACTGTATGAAATTTTTTCATTTAATGTTGAAATATAAAATAAGAAACTAAAAATGTTTTATAGAAAGTCAATTTGGATTAAATTGAAAAATAATATTTTAATAAAGATTGACTTGTATCACATTGCTAATAAACAAATACTTGCATAAAAGAAAAGTGAAGACCGAAGATATTGAAAAATCTGCCTTCCACAAGAGGTACAATCACTAAGAGTTTCTAGTAATGTCATTTGCGCCGACTAAGCCACCAACATCAACTTTGATGGATTTAATGATTCGAGTTTGCAAACCGTTTCTTGACCGACTTGTTAAACGAAAAGTTGTATTTTTTATTTTATTTTTTCATCTTGTTTGTTACATACGAACATTTTTGGCATCGTCCATGCTTTCATAAGCTAACTAAAATCACTCTTAATTACTCACTTCTCATGTTCATTTAAAAATTAAAACTACACTGCAAGGAATTATTTATTATTTAACTAACGGCTTTAGGTTTGAAGTTTTCAAATATACATATTGTATTTCGGTATTTCCCAAGACTTGTTTGAACAAGTGCCCTTTTTAAAACTTGTTAATACTTCCACTTTTAGAAAAGAGCAACACATTCATATGAAAATAAATCAAAGCATGTTGTGTTTTATTCAGAATGAATTAAACAAGTAAAATATAACTCTACAGTAAAAAGAAAAGAATATATATATATATATATATATATATATATATATATATATATATATATATATATATATATATATATATATATAGTTGAAAGATGAAATGGAACTCCATGGTAAAGAAAGGAAAAGCATTGACTGATTTAAGTTCTACAACATCCATTTTGTACAATATATCATCATCCTAGATCACCAATTTTGTAAAGGCATATATCGTAATTTAATATTGAATTTTGAGGCATAATTAGCTTAAATACAGGGACACCAAAAATTGAGAAATAAGAACAAATTCACTTACCACAGTTGCAGGAGAATGTATGCCTAAAAATGGGACAATATCTACTTGCAACCAGTTTTCAACTACAGATCCCACCACAGCACCAGCCACCAAACCCCCTATAGTTATCACTGTGGCTTTTCCTGTAAATACAATTCAATCAACAATAAAAAGAGTTATTACTAATACTATAAAGTATAAACCTAACAAAATTATCTGAAAAATAAATCAAGAAATGAGACATACCTAGTTTAACATTTCTTTTGGTCATGAAGTATAGAGAAGCTCCAAAACTAGTTGCCAAAATAAGCCCTGGAACATCAGCACCTGAAAGGGAACCCACTGGAGAATTGGCACCATTTACATAAGTCAACACAGCTAATGCTCCATACACTCCTGCTTCAATGCCCAAATCACGAGCAGATGGTGTATCTACTGAAACAAGTGGATTTTTCATGGCACCTTGTACCCATTGTGGCATTGATCCCATTTGAGGAGTATTTACAGGTTTAACATCAGCATAACGAATGCTACTATTTACAACTTTTCCTGCTCTCCTCTGTGATAAGCTTTGCATAAGTAACATGTCATATGCAGCCTCCACCTGAGAGGAACCATTCGGGATACTTTAGTAAATTGGAAGCAATACAAATGATATACACAAAATTCATCTTCGATTGATGCTTTTACTCAACATTATGTAAAGGAAGAAGATGAAAGAAGCTTCTGTTTGCTGTAGGAACTCATGAAACATCATCACGTAGAAGAATTGAGAAGAGAAGATGAATATAATAGAACAATTGGCTATAATGGTTCAGACAGCATAGCAGTGATTTAACCATCTCCAATGGAGATTAAGCCCTAATAGTCAAATTTAAGCTTCTTTAATTCCAATTTCGTTGTAATAAATAGTTTCCACAATTATGGCAGATTATGCAAAAACCACATGAAGCCTAAGAGCAGTAAGTTTAAAATTTAATGCGATTCGAGTCAAAGAAACTATCCTCGTATATATTTCTTCAATTATAAGCAGGTTTTAATCGGAAATCCTAAAGGATAACAATAAGGACATCGAACTTGAAATAAATCGTGTAAAATTGACACAATCTGTTTAGAATTTCACATATAATCTACTAATAGAAGTTCAATATGATAAAATATGACCGCAGGAAACTAACTAAACCTGTGCAATCGACTCTTGGTCGTCTTTACAAGCAGCCAAAACTGAATTCTTAGCTCGGAGTATATCATCAAAGGAAGCTCCTTCCGATACGCCTAATAATTTCAAAGCCGTATCTAGAGACATCTCGAACGACGATTCGTCGGCTGTCGAGCCACCGCCGGCGGCGAGGACGACGAATCTTGGTAATGAGGTACGGCGGTAGGAGGAGAAGGAAGAGGTGAGACCCAGTCCATCGGCTTTGAATAGTTTTGAAACTGTGTGATTGTTGGCCGTCGTGAATGGGCGTCGGTGAGAGCGGAATCGGTCGGCGACGCCGAGGAGGGAGGCGCGAGTGGGACGGGCGGAGAGAGGAGTGGTAGCCATGCGTGGAAGAAAAATCCGTTGGTTGTTTGAGTGTGTGTGTGATTGTCGTATCGTATAATTGAGGGGTGTATTTGGCTTTGCTTCCAAGTTACAAATTCTTTTTATTTCTTTCGACAAAAATAAATGGATAACTTAGTATAGTTTTCGTCAATTTAAAATAATATTTATATTTTTATATTTTAAATTTCTAATTAAATAAAAAGTTGATAACCAAATGAAAATCAATTATCGACAAGTACCATATTATTAAATTATTAAGTGTTCATGTATAAATTAATAGAAAAAAATATATATGTATGGTAAAATTAAACCAAAAATAAAATGCATCATCAAAGACCATGTATGGTGTGAGATATGCTTTATGATTAATTTAACCCGGATAAAAGTGTGGATAGTTTGATTAATAGAATATATTAAAGTAAATTTAGTTGATTTGGACAGTTTATGATTGTATATTTGGTTTGAAATTTTTGAAACCAAGCTTACTTAATTTGGCTTATGGTATATAATGTCAAACTCTACCGAAAACTTGGACACTTATATAAAGGTGTTGTGGTTATATTTAGGGTTGTAAATGAACCGAATGTTCGACGGGAAGTTCGTTTATTTACTAAATGAATGAATATGAACATAAATTTTCGTTCGTTTAGTTAAAGGAACGAACATGAACAATGATCTCGTTCGTTTAATTATGTTCATTTACGATATTATGTTCGTATATTTAAGTTTCTTTTATGTTTATATATTTTCAATTGTGTTTGATTACATTAATATATTATATGTTCATATATGTTCAATTATGTTTATTTATCTACGTTCATTTATGTTCGTTTAGCATGTTTACGAACATAAGCGAACGAACATTAACAATGTAATTTGTTAAACAAACGAACATGAACAAGAAAACTTGTTTGTTTATTCGTTCGCGTTCGTTCATATGTTCGGTTAACTTAAACGAACGAACATAAACAAACATTTGTTCGTGTTCGTTCAGTTCGTTTACACCCATAGTTACATTCACTTTTAAAGTTTATTACATTTTATAAATTGTTGTTTTACTTTGTATGATCTAGATTTTAATCAAGAACTGATGAGGATTTAAATTTATCACCTAAAGTTTTTTAGAAATTTCCACTCTGTATTAAGTATATCTATAAGTCTCAAGCTCATTCTGTATACCATGTAAATTGATCATTTGTAAATAATGGTTGTAAACAAAGAGTTCCATATAACTTTCAATTAAGTTGATAGCAGTGCGATTTCAATTCTTTTTATTGAATTCAAGAACTTTTTTACATCGACATGCATGGTAATTAAGACTCGTGTCATCCACCTAATGACCGTAAATTGAAGGTCATTGAGTTCTAAAGTTGATAAATGGGATTTCAAAGTTAAACAATTAGACTCGCAAATACTGCGAAATGAAGTCCTACGTGTTGTTATCAAAGATATTGCGGTGTCTGACCTCCAAGCGTGTCACTTCAAATTATGTCAACAAAGGTGACAACATGGATTGTTGTGATTATGACCAAATTAGTAGATTTTAACAACTAGATTTTGAAAATATTATTCTAAGGCAAACATTATATGATTCCAACAAGTTTTTCGTATTTCAATTTGAGGTTTTCATTTCAAACATTGTGTTTGAACTAAATTATACATAATGTTAAAGATAACTACAACCGGTATGACTTTAACTACAACAAAACACATACAAAATTCATAAAACTACAACCAGTATAACTTTAGCTACAACAAAACACATACAAAATTCATCTTTTAATGCAAAAATACTCAATTTATGGGGTTTTCAATTTGAAAATTGTTTTCTTGGTTTTTAGCTAGTTGATATGCCATCTGTACTTTGTGAACACTAAGGTTATTGTAATCTATTTCCAATCATAGGGCATGTTTGACACTACTAGTTGGTAGCTGGTAGTTAAAAGTTGTATCTTTTATTTGTTATATGAGTGTTTGACGAAACTAGCTGAAAGCTTTGAAATATGTAAAATTACATAAAATAACAACTGTTTAAAAAAGATAAATATGTAAATATATTTTTAAGGGCAAATTTGAAAATTAATTAAAAAACTCAATAGTTTTTTCTTAAACGCTACACGAAATAGTTTTTAGATTTAAAGTTTTTTGATAACTAAACGCTAAATGCTAAACACCGATATTCCCAAACGAAGTTTTTCGTTAAAAACTAAAAGTTAGAAGTTTTCAAATTATTGCTGCCAAGCAGATAGTTTCGGCTCTAGACCTCTAGTTGACAAATACTCGTTGCCAAACAAGCCCATGGTTTCAAAACTGCATTTCTTGATGTGATAAATACCACATTTCTAACTTTTTTTTTTAATAATTAGTAGGACCACATAGACAAGTATGCATCGATCCAAAATGACCTACTTTCACAAGCAAGCAATATCATATCATTTTCTATAATTCTAAAATGTCGTGTGGTCATGTCCCTTAAGCCCACCAAAAGATCGAGTTCAGAAATTCGTGTTATTTTTTTCTGGAAGATCCTAATCTGGGCGTTAAATAAAAATAATTATTTTGTTTCATCACGATATCATTGTCGATAGAAAACAAAGCGGCATGCGTTTGCCAAACTACTTGAATTAGAAAAACACGATTAGCCATTTCATATCCAAATGGCATAAATATACTTACACAACAGGTCAGCATCATGCCGTCACAAATTAATCATTTTCAGAAGTAGCCACATAAAGATTCAACAACACAAGTCTACCAAACATAAAATATAAAAACGCATAACAAAATCTATCAATCCCAGAACTTAATTTCAACATATAATAATAAAACAGTAAAAACAAGAACACAACCCAAAAGCCAAAAAGCTAGCTTCCCTTTTAAGTTTTCACCTCAACAATCCGAATCAAAAATCATCATCATCTTCCTCAGCAATATGCTTAGCAAGCTCCTGCTCCTGTTGCTGCCTTTCCCTCCTCTTTTCCGCACTTTCTTTCTCCTTATGAGAATTAGGAGGAAACCTCAACGCACGAACAGCCTCATTATGCATATTCAAACAAAAAGCAATCCTTGAATTAAACGCAAGTTGAGGCTCATTTGTCGAATAAATATCACCAGTTTCCTTGGACACCATCCACCCATTCGCATGGTCTAGAGTCGCGTCGATTGCACCATCACGGATTGCCTTTGACACGATGCTCTCCGCATCCGCAATTGAGTTTGGTGAGTCGAGTCGTAGCTTCTTTGCCACGTCAGCAAGGGAGATACGCGAGTAGGAAATGCTGATGTTGCGGAGCCCGGTTCGTATCACATTATGGCGGAGTCTCACGATTAGGTTGTTGGTTCGGTCTGAACTGAAAGTGGTTGCAAATTTCTCTGCTACGTTTTTAAACAGCTCCAGATCTCCAATTCTAACCGCCTAAACCAATAAATAAATAAATAATAAACTCCAGTGAAAAGAAACTAAAATACAAATAAATACGAGTCAAGGGGACTCACGTTTGTCAGCTCAAAGTATGGCCTCAAGGCCTTTTCCATGCCTTTTTGCATGAAGACAGTTCGTTCAGGGATCTCGCCTAGAAGTAAGCGAACGATCACAGCCCATTTATTGCATTGGACTCTGAAACCAAGGGCAGCTACGGGCGCTTTCCGGGCAGCTTGGAGGAGGGATTCCTTTGCATCAGTGTACTCGAGTTGAATTGTTCTAACCTTGCCCAAGTAAAAGAGGTAGCGACAGAACTGAAACAGATATGAGGGCAAATTTGTCATTTTACAAGGACTTACGAGCTTTTTTGGTAATTTGTATCCACCTTGTTTACTACAGTAATTTTTTTTAAAGAGTACTACCTGTTGATTTGAATGAGCTTCAAAACGTGGGGCCTTTGACCTGAGCTTTTCGGCTTGATCATATAAATTGTAATGAAGGTAATTGCGAAGTAGCAGGTTGAGAAGAGTTTCCTGGCCCAACTCATCATGGCGCAATGTAGCAACACGGTGCAAAGAAAGGAGATTACTGGAAAAATAAATAAATGTCATGCTTTTAATCAACAAGACAAGAAACAACTGATTATGAATAACAACAAGAGACAATTCAATAATTACAGTATTACCCTCTGATTTCAGAGAGATCGCCAGTGAGTTCATAGCTGAGAGAGTAATAGAAGTAGAGCCTGGATGCAAGAACATCAACTGTTCTTCTGTTCAGGTTTTTCAGACGGGTAATGCTTGCTGAAGAACAAGACTTGGCCTGTGTGTCATGAGCATAATAAGTGATCTTGGTTAATTGACTATACAGATTCATGTAGAACTTGGAAAATTAAAGATGCTGACCTCGCTGTATTTTTTCTGATCAATTAGAAAGATTAGGACAAGCAAGTAGCAATAGATTTCAAGCTCTGGGGAATGCTTCACGGTGGTTTGAGTTGCAGATGATGCAGTGTCAACTTCCATGTCATTTTCATCATCCTTTAGAGAACACGAAAATCATCAACCAATGGACTTAAGCAGAGATTTATCAAAGTTTATTCTTAATTTGTTTTTGGTTTATTTCATTCCTTTTACATCCAGAAACTCTGATTATCATACATGAAATAAACCGCTTGTGTCTCTAAATGTTCATCAAGGAATCTGTATCTACTCTATAGTTGATGATTTGTACATCTGTACCCTAATCGTCTATGAGTTTATCTCGTGTCTCTAAATGTTCATCCAGAAATTTGTATCTACGCTATAGTTGATGAATTGTACATCTGTACCCTAATCATCTGAGTTTATGTTCAAAATCATAAGGCATTGCTTAGTCAAGGAAATTAAAAACGGAATGTCCAATACTGTACAAAAGGTTTGTTTTCATTCAAAATTTTGTACTTCATGAGCAATAAACAGACAAATAGCATGAAAAAAAGTTGTCTTTCATAACACATAGTACAGAAGCTAACCTTTGGGAGATATGAAGATAATCGAGTGTGTGCTTCTGATCCAGGTGCAAGAGCAACATTAAGGAACGAAGAAATTATAGAAGCCTTTAACTTCCTCCTCAATGCGATTGTCAGCCTAACAGCCCTCAAAATCCGACGAACTTCACGAGCGTAAGCTCCCGTCTCAATCAGTGCCGCGATTTCCTTCAAATCTGAATGTCAAATTGACATAGTTTCCGCACAGAGAATCCAAAATTATCAACTGTTCATACTTTATTTTCATCGAAACAGTAAGCATTAATTGCCTAGGGTTAAGTTCTAACACGCTGGAACATCACTTGCTCGTTAACACGGATTCAGATGTACTTTCTTCCGCAAAGAGCATAACATAAAGGAGACAACAAAGTTAGACTGAATTCATCGATGCTTACGCTGTAAAACAGGAGTGGTAGATGAAACGGAATTCGAAGGAGCTTCCGGGAACTGCTGCTCTTTCATCTCAACATCCTGAGTCATTTTTCCCTGTAAATTTGCAATGAAGTTATACGAGATCGAAAACGAATAGCAAATATCAAACTTCTCGAACCCGATTTTAACCCTAAATTAACCTGGAAGAAGATAGATTGCAATCGCAAGCTCTTGGATCAATCAGCAAGGGAATTAGGGCTGCTTTTCCCCCAAGTTAGCTCTGTAAGTCTCGTTTTAGAAGTCTCGAATTTTCACTTTCACCCCCTAAACTATAAACGAAAGAACGATTCGGTCGACGAGTTATGATCATTTATTCTATAACAACCCCAAACCAGCAATCATTGATTTTAGCCGTTTAAAACCCAATTGCTAAAATGAATGATGAGGGTTAAGTCTCATCTTTGATATAAGTAAGTGAACTTAGGAGTATTTTAGAAGAAAATTAGATTTGTCATATATATATATATATATATATATATATATATATATATATATATATATATATATATATATATAGAGAGAGAGAGAGAGAGAGAGATAAGTTCATGTATTTAAAGTAATTATTGTGTTATTGTATGCATAAATGTGGGCCAATCAAAATTAAATAAAAAATTAAATAATTAAATAAATAAATAAGGGTAATTTAGTAATTTGTTTAGTAACTTCCAAAATTAATCCCTATAATCATGGTATTGACTTTTAACCTAATCCCTCCCGTTTAAATCTCGTTCCCCTCTTTATCTAAAACAAAATGTTGGCCGATCTGCAAAGGAAAAGGGATGCGAGTAGCAGCAGCGGTTAAGCGAATCTTCGAAGGCTTCGCTCGATAGGAACAGAAGAGAGAGCGAGGGGTGAGACCTGAAGAGGGTCCGACGACAGGTGGGGCGTCGGTGGCATTGGCTCGACGGAAGAAGAATCTGTCTGCAATTTAGGATCCACCTCGTGATGAGGTTGATCCTGCTATTGAAGAGTGTCGTGGAGCGGGAATAAAAGTGTTGGTGATAACCGGAGACTATAAGTCAACCGCAGAGGCCATTTGTAAAGAAATTAGGCTGTTTGATGAATTTGAGGATCTGAGAGGTAAGAGTTTTACAGGTCTTTAAATCCAGCGATGCCCTCATAGACTCATGGGTTCTGTTTCGCTACTTGGTGATTGGTTGTTATGTCGGGATTGCAATTGTTGGTGTGTTTGTTGTGTGGTACACACAGGCCTCCTTCCTGGGTGTCGATCTAATAGGAGAGGACGGGCATACACTTGTTTCGGTATCTCAGCTCACAAACTGGGGAGACTGTTCTTCTTGGCACGATTTCTCAGTCGCACCATTTTCTGTCAGCAGTAACCGAGTCATGGCTTTCTCAAACCCCTGCGACTATTTCACCATCGGAAAAGTCAAAGCAATGACTTTGTCCCTCTCGGTGTTGGTGGCCATCGAGATGTTTAATTCCCTAAATGCCCTTTCTGAAGACAACAGTTTGCTAACAATGCCTCCTTGGAAGAACCTTTACCTCCTTGTTGCCATGGTTGTTTCGTTTGGACTCCTTAGATGAAAGGAACATAAACAGATAGAGGTGCGAGATCATCAATGTGAACGGAAAGGTAACTCCATCAGGAATAAAAAATTTATTCTTTCATTTTCTATATTTTCACTCGCTTTTTTACCATCCCTGATTGTAATTTTATTTTGAATTTCAATTTTTTGTGTTTGACTCCTATATTTCTAGGGCTTTGTCAAATGAATGAATCAGAATGAGCAGTTTTTTGGCTGCATTTTATGAATTGATTCATATTTCAATTTATGTTTTTTTTTCTGATTTAACACTTCATTTATGTGGACAGTGCAGGTTCTTGACAAGGTTGAATTCTGAAAAGGTATCAAGTATGTTTATGTAGATGATTCAATGGATGATATTGGTGAGATTCCAATTCTATTGGAATGGAATCACGAATTCCAATTCTGTTGGAATCACAGAAGTTGATGCTTGAAGAACGGACCACAAAATTGAAACGGACCACATTATTCTTTTAGAATGTATTAGTTGTTATTAGATTTTGATGTTTTCTTTCCCGTTTTGAAAGTTTTTTTAGTTTTATTCTTTAACAATTGTTACACGTATTCTATAATAAATAATGTATTTTTTGTTTTTATTCTTCAATTGATTGTTCAAGAATTTGTTATTCTACAAGAAGTTTTTAAATTCATGATCAAGAAATAGGTTCAAGAATATTTTTATTATTTATGGTTCTAAAATATTTTTATTTTTCAACATACTCATAAACATATTCTGTCGGAATGTCCGAATTAAAAGAATTATTATTCGTAAAATCAGATTTTTAAAATTAATAGAATCTATGATCCCTTAAAAAATGCAATTTTCCTTTATTAAATATATATTAATTGACTAAATTACCCTTGTAATTAATTAAGATGATATTTTTCAATTATATTTAATTCAATAATATATATTAATCACTTTCTATAAATAAGTACATTTGATTGGCCCACATTTATGCATACAATAACACAATAATTACTTTGAATAGAATAACCTAAGTCTATATATATATATATATATATATATATATATATATATATATATATATATACACACTAGGTTAAAACCCGTGTGATACACGGATTGACAAATTAAAATAGAAAAACTAATACATAATAAGTGGCTTGCAATAAAAAAATCAACAATATTCAGATCTATTTGGATGACATGCGATAATTTGGTAATTTTTCAAAATACAATGTTATAACAGGAAAAAATAAAAGTGTGATGCTATAATAAATAAATCAACAAAAATACGTTGCCATTTCTTGTCAATTATATAATGTCTTAATGAGAAAAATAATAATAAGAAAAATTAAGAGTCAATTTGAGTCTTAAGGAAGCCATGACTGAATAACTTGAGAACCTAAAAAGATGCAACAAACTTTAGCAACCAACTATTAAATACATTAACACCAACCAACACTTTAACAATGAAACTGACTGGGAATTAGGAATCAATCACCACAACAGCCCCAAAGGCACTAAGCATTAGAAGACATTTGTAGAGACACAAGTATGATGTTATAATTGGGTATATTTCACAATACATTGTTGTAATAAGAAAAAATGAAGTAAATTGTCTTTTTCCAACGGTTTACACAAAGATGCAATAATATACAATCAATTTTTTTACATTGTTATTTATTGAATATAGGTAAAAAAGGGTTTAATACAAAATGTATTGTGGCCTTAAGCATCCTATTGTAACCTCAAAAAGAGTAGCAAATTTTTTATGAAAAAAATGGTCTAAACTCTCAAATTGCTCGAATAGAACTTATTATAGTTGGTTTACTCGGTTTAGTTGATTCAAGCATCCTACCTTGAAGTAATGGAATTACATTGCAATTTCAAAATTGATGGACATATACAAAAAAGATGAAAATGGTTAAATAGATGGACTTATTTAATTATAGAATCAAGAAATTACTATAAATTTTATAAAGTGTTTTGTTACTAATTATGAAAAAGAAAATGTCATTTGAAAAACCTTTAAATGAGATTAAAAAATAAAGAAAAAAGATATATTAAGTGAGATATTAATATTTTCTAATTTATGGTATATTTTGCATGAATGTATTTTAAGTCTATGATGTAACTTGTATTATTATTATTTTTCTTTTTAATTAATTTTTTTCCAAAAGGTTTTTTACTTTTTTTATAATTGACCATAATTCTATTATAATTATTTATTTTTTACTGTGCATAAAAATTTTGATGGGTATGCAACCTCTAATTTACATTATATATGGCCCATTGAACTGAATGATATAAAGTTTTATATTTTAAAACTTATAACTTTAAGGAGTTATATATAAGCGTAGTAAAATAATTTTAAAAATTTAGAAACATAGTTATATATAAACTATCATATTTCAATCTAAATTAGCAAGATTAGTCCCTTGCTGGACATGCAATATTATGATTTGTTAGTTTAAAAAAAAAAACCATAGTGCCAGGCTACAATGTACAAGTTTTAAAAAACAAAAGTCAAACTGCAATATTATAATTGCTTAGTTAAAAGAAAAAAAAATAATCAAAAACTTATAATACAAGTAAATAAAGAACACATCAAACAAAAGTAGATAAAAATCTTATTTAATGCATGTATATATAATTATTTGCAGCTTCCTTAAATGTTTGTGTGTACTGAACTGCATCATATGAAGAAACTAATGTTAATCATACGATCTAAATCAAAATCCTATATAGTTGAAAACGGCCGTTGAATTCGTAATGTCAAACTCCAATGTAAAACCGAAATTAGTACCGAAATACTAAAATTGATCTTCTCTCCCAATTGATGCTGTGTTTCCCTCTCTAACACAATCTTACAATCCTCTGATTTAATGTCAAATGATAGAAAATTGAACAACACCAATGTTCTGCTTTTATTCACCATAATACCGACCTATCCTGTTTTTGAGGTTTTACAATTTGCATCTATACAAAGTAAAAAAAAAAACCCCAAGATTATAGTACTAATGGTTATTGTCTGACTTCAAGCAATTAACATTATAGCTAATAAATTATGTTCTCTCTTTTGCCACCGAAACCACCTGATATATGTTCCTTTTGTATTGACATTAGTTTATATGCATATTAATTAATAATACAACCATATTGAAATATTTGAATTCCAAAACATTAAAATTTCCTCATATCAGTCACTTTGTTGCAAAATGCATTAATTCCACATATCTATGTATTAATATAATATATGAGGTTAAACTATACCTTTTATATATGCATTCCAAGGCTTCTTTGAACTCCATAAGACTTGATACAGATAAATAATCCAAGATTTGCAGATCTATAAACAATATCGAGTCAATGAAACAAACATTAGAATCAAAATGTCCATGTTTTTTTCTTTAATGTAAAGAAAGAACAACCCAAATATGCTAAAATGAAAACAAAGCCACTCTGAAATTAAATACACCAAATTCATATACATAAGGTAATACAACACAAATTAACATATATCAATCCCAATGTAATCACAAAATTAAAAAATAGAATGATATATGTATTCATTAAGTATTGTTTGTATCTTATTGAACCTCTCCTCCTGCAGCACGTTCCCCCCTCCATCTCCATCATCCTAAAAGAAGAAAACAAAAGATAATGAGTTATGCTCATATAAATAATATTTATATTGAAACCATATGAAATTAATCAATTAAATGAGTGAGGACATAATTCAGATTTACACCTTCGCATTCATCAAAAATAGTCTTTGGTGTTCAGATCCTTTGAATTAAGGGCACCGAAGTGAAGTTATTGTATGATCCTTACCTTCTCAGCCACGAAAGGCTACTATCATATGCTCTCTCACATTTATTTATTCGATCATAAAAGAAATAGATGATATGGACATTACATCAAGCACGTGGTGTGCACAAGCAACATTATCATTATGGATTCAAGCATGAGATTTCCCTCGTTAACACAAAGAAAACAGAAAAATAATAAAATATAATAAATTTACCTCTAGCGGTTTCATGTTGGATATCTTTTGGCTCAAAGATTTGTTTAATTAGTTTTGGTTGTGACGAAAAGATTGAAACCATCTCCATGTGAATCCTGAAAAATATCAAGGAAGCTATCCAAAAGCAAAGCATCATACTCTTAAGTTTTTCTAGACGATGTCTATTTCCATCGCATCTGTAGCACACACACATAAACCATAACACAAGGTCGATGTTTTACTTCTTTCTTTTCAGCATTGAAGAATGAAATTAAAGCTACAACAAAGGAAATCATAAGAAGAAAAGGAAATGAAATTCATGATTTGGTTCCTCATATCATCGTTAGTTACACACAATCCCTAATTTTGTGGGATAGATTGACGATTTCAGTTGATTGAAACCAATTTAAAAGGATAGTATATGGGCGCAGGGAATTTAAAATAAGAGAAGGGTAAAGCCGGAAATTCACTTTGGTATTTTGAGCGGAAAAATTCGATGGGGAGGTGCTTAGAGAATGCCACGTGGCAAAAATCTACTTATTTATTAGATTAGGATATATATATATATATATATATATATATATATATATATATATATATGTGTGTGTGTGTGTGTGTGTGTTCATGTGTTCTAACTATCTATTGTATGAATGTAGGAATCAATGTAAGTCAATCATTTAAAAAATCTATATAAAGTTAATTTTGTAATCTTAGCTATTAATTATTTATGGTAATTGTTAAATGAATTAAAATCTCATCATATCCCTATAAAATTGCAATCGGTTTCTAAGAGAGAACGCCTCAAAAAAAATTTCATGACCGTTTCTTTCGGACAACCCATTCCCCTCGGTCATCTCTCCAGCGGGCTTTATACAGACATCATTCCATCGTCCTTCACGTCGTCTATTATCACTGATGCTGACTCGGGTGATTTTCTCAATTATCTTTCGTTTTTAGTTAAGTATTTAAATGTAACACCTTGTTTCAGGTTGTGGCCCGAGGATCGGTTATCATAAGGCTTAGGGCCTTTGGG